GGTCGTACTGATGCCACGCAAAGCTCTTTTCGGAAGCAAGCTTATCACATTGCTGCTTTAAGGTGGTATTTTTGTTGGAGTGTAGGTCAAACCATGCTTTGAAACCTTCTAACTCACTGTCTGAGTATTCTGTAAGTACAAAAATATCAAAAATAATATCACAAAACAGCCCGAATTCCCACCCACATACAACAAGTACCCCATCATCTAAAAGAGACCCTTGCTAATTTGCTAACATGGGATATTTTGACGGAAATATCATCGAAATTAAGGCAAATTGCTACCATCATTTGTATCGGACATATGATTAACTCAAATTGCTACTCAATGAACAGGTTGAAATTGGGTTGGATTCGGGCGGGTTATAACTAAAAAAAAACCACTTGTTCAGGTTTAAGGTCGGGTTGGACATGGGCGAGTTTGGATTGGCCCAACCCAAATACATTGACAGGAAAAAAGACAGATTAACTCAAATTGCTACTCAAAACAAACCTAATACATTGACAGGAAAAAAGCCAGATTAAGTCAAATTGCTACTCAAATCGACATGGAACGCTATAAACATTCTAAACCCAAGTTTTCTTGTGTTTCGAAAACAGAATTCTAACGAAATCAAACACAATCTACAGAAAATCATGCTTATAAAGTAACAATATTTTTTGCATATATGAAAAAAAAAATACTCACCTAACTTGAGTTTCGCGATATAAGCCTCTTGTTGCTCCATACTAAGAGCCCACCCTAACTTGGCCGCCTCAACGGAGCCTTCCATTTCTTTCAATTCCAAGTCCACCTTCATCTACACACAAATTCACAAGAAACCCACAGAAATTTTCAATTCCAAACCCCCAAAAAAAAAATTCGTATGTCAATACACGAAACCCTAATTTTACGAAATTGAAAAATTGGGGAAAATACCTGGCGGATTTGATCTCCCAAGAGATGAAACGCGGAGATCCACTTCTCTTCTTGCACTCTGACGTGATCTTTGAAGACTTTTCTGTCGCCGGCCATCGTCTCGAGGTTCGATTGCTGAGACCGCAGCATCTGTGCCAGCGCGTTGAAGATGTTCTGCCAGTTCCGGCGCTGAGAGGCGGAGTCCGGAAGCTCTTTGGTGCCCATTTGGGAAGAGAAATCGCAGAAGAAGAAGAAAAAGATCGGATCTTTGGAGAGCGAAGTTTTGGAGGAGAAGAAGAAGACCGTTGGAGAGAGCACTACAGAGTGTTAAGAGTTGCGAGTTGTCAAGGAGGGAGCTTTCAATCTCAACGGTCGGGAAATATAAAAAAGGGTATCGTGTTTTGAAAGCGAAGCGGTCTATCAGATGAGATGAGGGAGTGAGTTGGATTGGGCTGGGCTGGGTTGGGTTGAGTTACTGTTAAAGAATCGGGCCGTTAATCAAGTAACGAGTCAATTAAAAATTGATTTTTTTTTTAAATGTATCTTGATGAGGAGTGCAAACTGATTTTTTTGAAATGGATATCGAGTATCTCTCGGAGTATCCTAGAGTTATAGTTGTTGAGTGGTGAGCACTACTATAAATCTTCAGTAACTCTTGATTGTCGGTATTGACTGAACTGTCTTGGTTGTCAACAGACATCAATCGATTAAGGTGAGAACATGAACTTAGCACTCAATGAAAATATCAATTGTTGAAACCAAATTTCCGCACAATCGTAAATGGTTAAAATGTGCAAATCTAACCACCTACAAACAAGACCAAACAACCGTAATCGTAAGGATGCGGACTTTTAATTTAGAAATACTTTTTTGTAGTTGGAAGAAATAAAACTATTTGGAAAATTATTAAACTTGCCGCCAGATCTTACATTGGAAATTTGTCATGAAATATACGTCGTGGAACTTGCTCTTGATTATTCGAAACTTATCAATTAAAATCTTGGAAGTTATCTAAAAATTAAGTTTCTTTGTGTATGATTTGCTTACAATTTTCGTGGACGAATGACTTTGGACAAGTTCTCTAACTCATTAAGCCTAAGGGTTATTATCAATATTTTGTTTATTATTATAAACGGCTTTATTATATTTTCTTTTTGAGTAAACGATATTATCGACACTAAAAGGTGATGGAGTGCCGCATCTAATAATAATATGGTTCAAATTCGTCTTTTACGAGAATCGAACATAAAACCTCTCACTTACAAGTGAAGATGAATATCACTAGGCCATAGTACTAAGTGACGACTTTATTATATGTTAGTAAATGTACCATATACAAAAAAATGAGAATAAAACTCATATTTTGCATACCTATTTCCATAAGCTAAATATGCTATTTTTGGCAATTCCTCGTGGACAACTGTCAACTGACATGCTTCCTACCTCCTATATCCCACTTTTTTCTTTAAATTTTATTATTAGTAACCAGATGGAGAGAATTCAAAACTATTACAATAATTTAAGAAATAAAGAGTTTCGAACCTGAGACTCATGGATGAAAATCCAACATCCTATATGCTAGAATATCAACCACATGCTCCTAGATCCCACCTTCTTAGTCTTAAAAATCTCTTTTAAACAAACAATTCACATAGATCTTCAATTTTGTAACTTGTTCCCAAAAGAAAAAAAAAATGTTGCTTAAACCTTGATCTCTGGATCATGGAAATAAAAATTAAAACAAAGGGAAGAAAATGTTAAAACCTATCGGGAATATTTCGTTAAAACTCTCTATAAATGTTGATTTGGTCCGGCAGCCTCTGGACTTTGGAAATATGACAACCATAAACCATTCGAGCTACACAAAAATAATAAAGACAAAAACGAGGGGAACATCCCAAGATGCCGACGGATTTACCTAGATTGCCAACTTCCGTCCACATTTAACTACAACGCCATTTTCTTGCGTCTTGTACTTATCTTTGAAGTATCGTTGAAGATTATGAATGTCGTCGATTCGATCAAAAACTATGAGACCGTTTGCGTCCCCGCTGCCAACTTTTTCATCCTCCCCAATTCGCTCCACCATATAAGTTGCCACATTGCTCGCATCATCAGCAGGGCGAGCAGCCATCTTCTTCCCTTCGTTAGCTTTTCTGCTACGTTTTTGGTAAGCAAAAGTTTTACTCGACGACTTATACAAGAAAAAAGTAAAGGAATTAGTTGCTTTCAATATCCATCAACTTTACGTGCTAAATCTACATTATATATTTTTTTTTGTGATGAACTCATGCGGTCAACCTATGCAGATTCTTGAACCCTAGATTTGATACCGAAATCGCCGTTTTCTATCGATATTCAAGGATCGAGAATCGGAAGAGATGTATCCAGTTAATGGGGATCATGCTTCACAAAATGGGAATGCGAGAACTCACGAGCCGCCTGTTTTCGAAATCGGAGAAGACTACGATTTTCTGAGGTTGCTGGACAGGCCTAGACCGGTAAGCGTGGAGAAGAAGAGATCATTCGATGAAAGGTCGTTCAGCGAGTTGTCTTTTTTGGGGAGTCCTAGACCAAGCTTTGACACCAATCCCATGGTTTCCGATGCCTGGGAAACCTTGCGCCGCTCTGTAGTTCACTTCCGTGGCCAGCCTGTTGGAACCCTTGCCGCCGTCGACCATTCGGTCGAAGAACTTAACTATGATCAGGTAAACTTTTAATTAAAAATAGAACTGGAGGGACACTACGGATTGAAGCTTTAGAGCTCGTTTAAATGTACTTTTAAAATGTATGAAAGCATTTTTAGAAAAAATATTTTTAGGTTTCAAAAGTACTTTAAGTGCTTTCTGAAAGAAGCACCAGTTATGTGTTTTTTCAGGATTTACTTGTATTTTTATTAAGAAAAGTACTTTAAGTGCTTTCTGTAAGAGCACCAGTTATGTGCTTCTTCTGGGAAGCACTTTAAGTGTTTTTCCAGGATTTACTTGCATTTTTACTAAGGATTGGTTCCAAAAATATTTTCACCAAAAGCGTTTTTAGTCATTTTAAAAGCACATACAAACGAGCTCTTATATAAACTATATTTCATAACCAGTTCCTTTTGTGTATACTTCTCTCGAATTAATGTTACAAATTTATTTCATGCTTTCCTTAGTAATCTTTTTGTATAGGTGTTTGTTAGAGATTTTGTGCCAAGTGCATTGGCATTTTTGATGAATGGAGAATATGAGATAGTGAAGAACTTTCTTTTGAAAACACTTCGCCTGCAATCACTGAAGAAATTTGTGGACCAATTCAAGCTAGGAGAAGGGGTCATGCCGGCGAGCTTCAAAGTGCACCATGACCCCATACGAAACTACGAAACCATAACTGCGGATTTTGGCGAGACCGCAATCGGAAGAGTGGCTCCGGTCGATTCTGGATTCTGGTGGATCATATTGCTTCGAGCTTACACAAAGTCGACCGGGGACTCTTCGGTCTCCGAAATGCCCGATTGCCAAAACGGCATTCGCCTCATCCTCGATCTCTGCCTCTCAGAAGGATTTGATACCTTCCCTACCCTGCTCTGTGCTGATGGATGTTGTATGATTGATCGCAGAATGGTTAGTTTACTTGCCCATTTTATCAGACGCCTTCAGTGCGCTAATTACTAATTAGTCATGTTTTGCCTTAGTTATAATCTAAACCCTACATCCATTCTTTATCAATGGACACTCAGTCGATAGTAGCGATCAAGAAAAATCGGCTAAAATAATTATAAATTACATCTTAATCGTTAAACTGATCAAAATTAATATTGACAACGTATCGATCTGATATCGATAACGTAACGATAAGAGATTAACCACTTGTCATATGATATGATTGATTAGTCATGTCATGGTTTTCTTCTTTAAGCAAGAAGTTCATTTTTATTTTATTAAATAATAGATTGTCGATATTGCATATATTTCATTATCGATTATATGTGTAACAAAATTTATCCCGACATGTTTCATTAGCATCTAATATCGACTTCTGGCGTAGACAATTTTTGTTTAATCAAAATACGATATGATGTGTATTGCAGGGTGTTTACGGATATCCAATCGAAATTCAAGCACTGTTCTTCATGGCATTACGATGCGCTCTGGTTCTGCTCAAGCAAGACAACTGCGGCAAAGAATTCGTAAACCGCATAACGGACCGCCTCCACGCCCTGAGCTACCACATGCGCAGCTACTTCTGGCTGGACCTGAAGCAGCTCAACGACATCTACCGCTACAAGACGGAGGAGTACTCTCATACGGCAGTGAACAAGTTCAACGTCATGCCGGATTCGCTGCCCAATTGGGTGTTCGATTTCATGCCGAGCCGCGGCGGTTACTTCATTGGGAATGTGAGCCCGGCCAGAATGGATTTCCGGTGGTTCTGTTTGGGCAATTGCATGGCGATTTTATCGTCTTTGGCGACGCCGGAGCAGGCATCGGCGATCATGGATCTCATTGAGTCGCGGTGGGATGAGTTGGTCGGAGAAGTGCCGTTGAAGATTTGCTATCCTGCAATAGAAAGTCATGAGTGGAGGATTGTTACTGGCTGTGATCCAAAGAATACTAGGTGGAGTTACCACAATGGAGGCTCTTGGCCAGGTGAACTTATCGCCTATTCACTTATTTGAAACTGCTTTTGTACAAAGTACTTACTCATAAGCGCTTTGTTAAATGGCAAATGAAATTTGAGGGAAAATATGTTACGTAAAATATTTTTATTTTTGTGATTGGCGCAGTGCTGCTGTGGCTGTTGACGGCGGCATGCATAAAGACGGGGAGGCCCCAAATAGCGCGACGTGCGATCGAGCTGGCGGAGAGCCGGTTGTCGAAAGACGGCTGGCCGGAGTACTATGACGGGAAGCTAGGGAAGTACATGGGAAAGCAGGCGCGGAAGTACCAGACATGGTCGATTGCCGGGTACTTGGTGTCGAAGATGATGCTGGAAGACCCGTCTCATTTGGGCATGGTAGCATTGGAGGAGGACGAGCAAATGAAACCCCTAATAAAAAGATCTGCTTCATGGACCTCTTAAATGTCTTTTTTTTTCTTTTCAATTTTCTTGCTGTATTTATGCAAATGTGTGTTACAATATTGTAAGCAAACACTTTTGGCAATAATCGAAGACCAACTTGTGTTGGTGTTGTGGCGTGGAAGTCTACTGCCACAAGCAAAACTGGAAACGGGTCTTGACTTTGTGGGTTGCATGCCATTTCGCATGGTTTTTTTTTTTTTGAATTTTAACGAAAAACTCCCGGTATTTTTTATTTTAACGAAAAATTACATTTTTATGTTAAAAGTCAATCATGATACTATTCACTTTACCCTTTATTTTGTCCTTATCGTTAAAATTCAAAGTTTTCA